AATAAATTTTTAAAAATAAATATTTTAATAATAATGTGAAATTATTTTATTAAAATTTAAAAATTTTGAAAATCTCTGGAGTTTTATATATAAATCTTCACTCCGGAGACTTCTAACGATGACAGAGTACCTCTGAAGTTTTATGCCCAAAAATCTTTGGAGATCTTTGCCAAAAAAATTTCCTAATATATCTAAGTTTGATTAGTTTTAATTATACAGGTCTTGCCACAATGATTTTTCAATAATTTTGACTCACACTATATATTTATATTTTTATTACTTTTATTATTTATTTTTTTCTATAGTATTTTAAATCTACTATCTTCACAATAAGATGGATATTTAGATAATGTACATATTGTAAATGAACAAATCAATTAATAATATATATTATATATTATAATAGCATTAATAAAATTGACAAATATTTAAGAAGTATGCTGTATTACATATAATAAAGCTATTTCTGCAATCCGATCAAAATTTAAACACATTTAATACGAATCCGTATAATGAATCTTGAAAAAATAGTAATTTTTACTAAAAATTGATCATTAATTCAAGTTAAATTTATTAAAAAAAGCCAAATAAATTCCTTATTAAATTCTTTGGTGTAACTTTCACTTATTAAGTTGCAGGTGCTGAACGCAATTATTCTGTTCATTAAATGAAATATTGAAGGTTTTCTATTGTTCATTAGTCTCTATTTTAAATTTATCTTTATGCATAGAATACTGTAATTCGAGTTCTAATAGAAGAACACCAATATAAGTATGGATGCATTGATTAAAATAATCATTTTTTTGATTTTTTGTCCTCCGTTAATTCAATATTATCTTCCGGGACCTGTTTGGTACAAGATTATGTATAAGAATTTGCCAATAGTGGAAAATTTTGTACGACTGGAAGATTACTTACATCTGGCCATGTCTCTAATATGAAATCAAACAAATCGTCCGAGACATCTCCTTGCACGACAATCTCATCGTTTCCTTGATTGTTCTTAACAACAGAAGAGCCGCAAGCGAACTTTGTTGCAAAAGATTTTGCCGCCTTTTTTAAGTCAATATCTGATAAATGTCAAATTATCTCTTTTGTTATGGATCATCGTTATGATTATACGTGGTAAATACTTGTATTTTGAAAGGCCATTACCAAAATTTTGCAAGCCATAAACACTAGTGACACATTTTCGTTTATTTCGTGCAATACGTGTGATTATGACCTTAGAAGCCTATTAAAAAAAAAAAAAAACAATAATAATAAACAACCTTGAATCAAAACGTAGATTGTGATGCAATAAATAATATCGTCTCTAAATACCATCTTTTTTTGCAATTCTCGTTCTATCTTTGCGGCCTCTAAAATAAATTATTACAAGTTAAAATACAAAATTATTCTCGTGATCGGGCAAAGCATCGCTCGCACCTTTTGCTTTCTTTTTGTCTTCTACCTCGTTGGGCTTATCTTCCAATGATGTGCTAGCCAATTTCTCCTCGAGTTCAGCTGACCAACAGTATAAATTATTATATTATTTACTTGCTAATAAAAAAATAATTATCTTGTAAGATAAAAATTGAATTTCAGAGCAAAATAAAAGAAATATTTACATTGGGAGTAAAGTTTCTCAAACATCTCGAGATGCTTTTCCTTTAGCCATTTTTTGCATTTTTCGAGCGTCGGTCCAAATTCGCAGTACTGCTCCGATTGACAAAAATTATACCATTTTAAAAGAATGCCCAACTATTCGAAAGGAGTGTAATTTTGTTGGCAGCATACCTCCGGAGGTAGTGAGCACACTTAAAAGAGAACAAGAATGGTGATGTGAATCGTAAAAAGAAAGGATATCGTAAAAAAATAAAAAAATTTACTGAATTTGCTTACCTCCACAGTAGATCACTTGCTTCGCCGTTGATACTGGCGTCGTCATTTTTTGTAAATTCTAACGGGAAATGTCGAAGAGGTCTAGAGCTTTATACATCAATGTCATGTGATATATAACATTAAAACATCCAATCAAATTAATATAGATAGATACAAGATATCGCCCGATAAGATCAGAATTTCTTTGAATACTCGAGGATGTTTGTTCTAAAGCCTTCTTCATTTCGTTCTTTACAACACAAATTGCATTCTTGTAAGTTATTATTATTTTACAAATGTCGAGATACGAACTCATATTTCCCTCTTCCATAGGTTGTCGGAGAATCAGCACTGTTCAATATGAGGACACTATCAAAAACATGCGAATTACTAAAGAAACTCGGGTGATTTGTCAGGGTTTCACTGGAAAACAAGTAGGCTATAAATTCTTTGAAAATTATACAGTGTCGAATCTTCACATTTTCAATCTTTAAGGATTGATATGGACAACATTCTTATCGTAGAGTTTTTATCGTAAAATGTTACAAATTCTTGATTTTCTATTATTACGTTGATGTTATCATTCGCCCTTTTTCTTAGGTTGTCTGATTTTACAAATTCCTTCTTACTAGGCATATGATCTATCCATTAATTTCTTCTTTCTCAAGATTTTTACAAAAAATGAATTTTTCTGTTATTATTTTTCCCCAAGGGCACCTTTCATTCGCAACAAGCAATCGATTATGGTACAAATATGGTTGGCGGAGTTTCCCCTAACAAGGGTGGCAAGACCCACCTGGGATTGCCTGTATTCAACAACGTGGCTGAGGTTTGCTACAAATGTTTTAATGCTCACATCCCAAGATAAACTCTAAATTTGTTGATTTTCGCAGGCCGTTCGTGAAGTGAAACCGGACGCATCCGTAGTTTACGTACCTCCGCCATTTGCTGCTGACGCCATTATAGAAAGCATCGAAGCCGAAGTACCTTTGGTGGTTACTATCACCGAAGGTATTCCTCAGAAAGATATGGTCAAGGTATCAACGAATTCCTGGATACAACCCTATCATGATTGTAGATCATTAATTGGTTCGCTCTGGTGATTAGGTTGTAAATATCTTGAAATCTCAAAATAAGACCCGTGTGATCGGGCCAAATTGTCCGGGTATAATTGCACCTGGTGCATGCAAAATTGGTATTATGCCTGGGCATATTCACAGAGTTGGTAAAGTGGGCATCGTCTCACGGTCTGGAACTTTGACATATGAGGCCGTTAATCAGACAACTCAAGCGAACCTTGGACAAACGTTATGTGTCGGAATCGGTGGCGACCCGTTCAATGGCACCAATTTTATCGATTGTTTGAAATTGTTTTTGGAAGATGAGCGTACCGAAGGTAGAACACAAATTCTTGAAAAACATTTAGAATTTAGTCATATTCTTTATTAAATTGGATCTTATATAGGTATCCTGTTGATTGGAGAAATTGGAGGTTCAGCTGAAGAAGAAGCAGCAGAATTTCTTAAACAACACAACTTAACACGTAGCAAACCAAAACCAGTAGTTTCCTTCATAGCTGGCCTATCCGCGCCACCTGGTCGTCGGATGGGACATGCTGGCGCTATTATTTCTGGGGGAAAGGGAGGTGCCACTGATAAAATTAAGGCTTTGGAGAATGCGGGTGTTGTTATATCTCCAAGTCCTGCAAGGATGGGTGTCACTCTAAGAGCTGTAAGATGATATCATTTTCATGAATTCCTTGTTGTAATTCCAAAACTAACTTTGTTTTTTTTTTAAAGGAAATGGAAAAGGCAGGTTTAATTTCATAGTTATTTATGTTTACGACCTTTATATTATTTTCCATGGTTTTTGAAAAAAATACGGGCGCTACCGTTATGCGGATTCATAAAGCATAGTTATGTGTTAATTTATTTTACTTTTGCATTCCGTGTTCCAACGGAATGTCAATTGAGTATAATAATGTACCATGATTAGAGGCGCCGACTTAATACTTTCTTTAATTGCGTCTTCACAATTACGTCATATAATAAAGCCTGCACCTCTAATAAATAAATTCAGGCTGGAAATATCCAAATTGATAAATTCAGATAAAAAGAAATCTATGCCATCACGTGCAAGCATTTATTTTCGCGTCGTTACACAAACGCGTACATATATTTTATATATGTACGCATATATAAAATACTGTATGTTAAAAAAGTTATTTATTCTTTCATACTGTTATAGCCAATTTCAGAAAGATGGCATCACCAGCTAGCATACTATCTGATCGTAGTTTAGCTTACCAATCCGGTAGAGCGAGTAACGATATTATAGCATCTCGAGGGAATTCGGTCAGGCCACAAAGTAAGGCGCCACCAAAAACACCAACGAATAACCCTCAATATGCGCCTTCAATATTGCCCGAAGAAGAGCGTAAGCCGCGCATGGTCATTAATAAAATGGTCCTGGTCAACTTCAAGTCATACTTTGGTCGTCAAGAAATTGGACCATTTCACAAGGCATGCAGTGGAAATTACGTTTTTCATTTTTTTCCTTCGCCGGACCATTAATATTTATAAAAATAATATATATAGTCCTTCTCCTCGGTTGTTGGACCTAATGGCTCAGGAAAATCAAATGTTATTGATGCTCTCTTATTTGTTTTCGGATATAGAGCTAATAAAATGCGACAGGGTAAGCTATCGGAACTCATTCACTCGTCGCAGGGGTACGAAACCTTGGATCATTGCGTTGTCGAGGTGCACTTTCAAGAGATACATGATTTGGTAAGTGCAAGGTTCCGCGAAATAACATCAACATCTGTATCGTCATTTGCCATTTATAGTCACGCATTTCAATTGAAATCAGCCTGGCCAAGATGATTTTGAGGTTGTCCCTCATTCCGAATTAGTCATTTCGCGTCAAGCATTTCGCAACAATTCAAGCAAATATTTTATCAACGGACGTTCGAGCAATTACACCGAGGTGACATCTTTGTTGAAGAAGAGGGGAATCGACCTAGACCATAAACGATTTTTAATATTGCAGGTAACACCTTGGAAGAAAATTAAACCTAAAGCGAATTGTTCACAGTGTGTTGATGACACGATTGTCTTCAGGGTGAAGTGGAGTCGATATCGCAGATGAAGCCAAAGGCGCCAAATGAACATGAGGACGGTCTTTTAGAATACCTCGAGGATATAATAGGTACATCCAAATACAAGGAACCTATAGAAAAGTCTAGTCAAAAGGTTGAACAGTACAATGAAGAACGTTCGGAAAAATTGCACCGAGTAAAAATTATCGAAAAAGAAAAACAAAGTTTAGAGGTAATATGTTGAATGTCAAATTAGTTGCCCAGGGACGTTCTCTCACATTACGCATCAAAAAGGCTAAGAAGAAGGAAGCTGAAGAGTTTCTTCGGGAGGAAAACAAATTATCGGTCAAGAAGTCTACATTATATCAGAGGCACCTTTTCGATCTCAAAAATATCATTGATATTAACATTAGGATGGTGGTATGTGAAGGTGGTTAGTTCCACAGACCCATAAGTGCCAAAAATTAATGAACCCGACAAAAATATTTCAGGATCAATTGAACAACGAACTCCGAACGGAACAGGAAAAACATGCCCAGACCCACCAAGAATATGAGAATCTCGAGAACTCATATGCGAATTCCTTGAAAGAATATGCTGTACGTTAAAGCGATTTGCCTCGTTTTCGAATCACCGCAAGAGACTTCTCAATTAGAACTTTCTCTTTCTTCCACCAGGCACTTGAAAAGGAAACTGACCTAATTCTCAAAGAGAAATCGAAATATGATAGAGAAGTTATTCATCTGGAGGAAAAAAAGAAGCACGCACAAACAAAGCAAAAGAAATTGCTCAAAACTATGCAGAATGTAAGTTTATCTTATTAATACGTTCCCATACGCTGCTCATGAATTAAAGTTTTTTTGATTAATAGGAACGGCATGCTCTGTCAGAAGCCAGAACGTCCATCCGTTATAATGAGGATGATTTGAATAAGAGAAAACAGGAAATTGAGCGCCTGGAGGCGTCTTTGGGCGTCGAAGAACAGGCATTGGAAGCAATTCGCGAAAGTCTTAAGGGTAAATTTATCGGCTTCACGAATGAGATTTTCGTTAGTGTGAACCCGTCGGCTTATCAAATGGATGACGAACCATTTAATAATTTAGGGAAGACGGAAGGATTCACGGCCAAGATCGAAGAGAAACAGAGAGAGCTATCTCCGTGGATTGAAAAAATCAATTCAAAGCAATCGGCCATCGATGTTACCCAGTCCGAATACAATATACTTAATGATAAAGTTAATTCCTTGAGACACAACTTAGAACAAGCTGAAAAGGATGTCGTTTCACTTGGGGAAGCTCGACGCTCAAAGGTTCACGACCATTTTATCGGATGCTTGACACGAAACCATTAACTAATCATAACTCCATTAATGTATATAGGAACAAGAGATAGAAGCTTCTAGGCATCAAATTAATATGGTGAAAAAGGAAATTGAAAAAATCGAAGTCACATTGAAAGTAAGGTTATCACATTTATTCTCAAGCTTTCTTTTTCTTTTCTTTTCTTTTTTATATTTGTTTGTTTTGTTGCAGAACTTATTGAACTTGATTTGTCACATTAGAACTCCAATGATATCCAAGAAAAAATCAGGACGTGTCTTTCCGACGCTCGACAAAAAGAGAACGAGGCGAAAACACTTTTACAATCGTCCCAGTCTAGAGGACAGGTGCTCACCAGCTTGTTGAAGCTCAGGGACAGTGGTCGCATAAAAGGCCTTTATGTAAGCGTGCATAAGTTAATGATGGTATTTAATTTTGATCCGTTAATTTCTGAAATTTTGTCTCACTTCATCAGGATCGATTGGGTAATCTCGGAGTTATAGACGACAAATATGATGTTGCAATCTCGACAGCGTGTCCGGCTCTTGATCACATAGTGGTCGAGTCGGTTGAAGTTGGGCAAAACTGTATCGAATATCTTAAAAGAAATAACTTGGGACGTGCGCATTTTATTCTCCTAAATCAACTTTCTTCAAAGGATATGGGCTCGATCACAACACCTGAAGGCGTTCCTCGGCTATTCGATCTCGTTAAACCAAAGGATGGCAAATTTGCACCTGCGTTTTATAAGGTTTTGCAGAACACACTTGTGGCAAAAGATTTGCAACAAGCCACTAGAATTGCATACGGAAAGCAAAGATGGCGCGTGGTAACTTTAGAGGGTCAGCTTTTTGATTTGGTCGGTACCATGAGTGGAGGTGGTCACAGGGTGATTCGCGGAGGCATGAGTTCAAAACTCGTTTCAGATGTGACGCCAGAAATGATTTCCGCGTTGGAAAAGGAGCGAAATCGTCTGGAAGATCAATGGAAAGAATTTAACGAACAGCGTAAGACCTATGAAAGTCGACTTCAGCAACTCAAAAGCGAGCTACCTAAGATGGAGCTTAATATATCGAAGTTAGAAATGGATTCAAGTTCGTGTGCTAAGCGAATTGCCGACACTCAGAAACTTGTTTCCGAACTACGGTAAAATAAACGTCATCATTGTTATGATCGCAGGCGTTCAGATTGTGATCCCGATTAATTTCCGTTATCTCATTTTAGACAGCAGAACAAACCAAATGTCGAGGATCGAAAACGAATGCAGCAACTTAAAGACGAGATTGAAAAGTTGAATCGAGAATTGAACAAACTTAAGAATCACTCTTCAAAAATCGAGGATGAGATTGGAATTTTGCACGAGAAAATTTTGCAGGTCGGTGGTGATAAACTTCGGGCTCAGAAATTAAAGGTGGACTCAATAAAGGAACAAATGGACATGATCAATGACCGTATCACAACGGCTCAAGTTGCAAAATCAAAGGCCGAAAAAGATGTGACTAAATTTGAAAACTCCATCAGCAAGAATGAAAGGGAAATAGAGCAACTTAATCTAGAAATGCAAGAGCTTGAAGGTAATATTCGACAAAATACGGAAGCTTCGAGGTCTATCGCATTCAAGGCTGAAGAGGCAAAAAAGGCGCGTGGCATTAATATTGCTGGTCGTTTAATATTCTTCAATTGAGCAGCTAAAATGACGTCGAAATTAAATTTACCGTGATAGGGTCTGGAAGACAAGAAAGAAGTGTTGGACGTAATCAAGGCTGAACGCGATGAGAAAGCAACCATAATCAATCACACCAGGGCCATTCAGGTTGAATCTTAAATCAATTAATGAATCGCAGTTGATTAATAAATAGATGCTCATGACAATTATCTTTTGGCTACCGTCAGTTGGAAATCAAGAATAAGCTCGAAAATAACGAGCGTATCTTGTCGGAAAACAGGCATAAAGAAAACCATTTGGTTAATTCCCTCCAAAAACTTACCCTTCATGAAATAAGGTAGCTGAACACCTCCGTTGCGATTCGTATTACTTGTAATTCCTTTTTTTGTTTTTCGTGTCATTTAATGATAATTATTGCAGTGACGACGAGCAACCGCCAGAATTTCCGACTTTTTCTGATGATGAGCTTAAGGCAATTGACGTCGAAACCCTGCAGAATGAAATTGAGGTTCTTAACGGTACGTGTTTATTAATTCATCACAACCATGTTCGTGTTTCCATTGATATGAACCATTTAACGGGGATTACGTATTTCTGCTGTTTCAGAAAAGATACAGAATGCCAATCCAAATCTAAACGTCTTAACGGAATACAAACGTTGTGAGGAGGAATATCTGTCTAGAGCAAAGGATCTTGAGGAAATCACTCGTATGCGTGATGGGTGTAAAAAGGAATACGACGATCTTCGTAAGTTGCGACTAGAGGAATTTATGCATGGATTTACACTAATATCTCAAAAGCTGAAAGAGATGTATCAGGTTGGAGTTTTGTTAATTGAGTTCAGCTGTCGGTCGGGAATTTTGAGGATTCTGTCAAACTTAAATTTGTAAAACAAATCCTCAGATGATTACTCTCGGAGGTAATGCCGAGTTGGAATGTTGCGATAGCTTAGATCCTTTTTCTGAAGGGATCATATTTAGTGTCATGCCACCAAAGAAGAGTTGGAAAAACATATCCAATCTGTCCGGCGGAGAAAAGGTATATTTCTATTTGCCCTCGTGGCCTGACATCATTTGCTAAGAATAATGATTATCCTTTTTGGCAGACGTTAAGCTCTTTAGCTTTGGTGTTTGCCCTTCATCACTTCAAGCCCACTCCATTATACGTGATGGACGAGATTGACGCCGCCTTGGACTTCCGCAACGTCTCAATTGTGGCAAATTACATCAAAGAGCGTACCAAGAATGCCCAATTCATTGTAATTAGTTTGCGAAATAACATGTTCGAATTAGCCGATCGTTTGGTGGGGATCTACAAGACAAACAACATGGTACGCGATTTGGTCGACTCCTCAAGAAAAAATGATTCCAGGTGCTAATTTATTTTTCTCTCATTTCTCGACAATTTAGACGAAGTCGATTACCATTTCGCCCCGCGACGTTACGGTGCAATAACTGACATTCCGAGAGTCTTTGAAGGGAACCAATCACCGTTATCAGTTATATAAAATGAACGTCGTCATCTGGGATAGCAAATAAATAAAGGGTCTTGGAATGATTCCGATACATTCAATATCGATATTCGAAATCATATTATTGTCTTTAATTCAATTAGGATTGTATGATATTCAAAAATTAAGTTTTCCAATAATTAAATTCACATACTTGAAAAGTAATTCCCGACCACAATTATTATTCTTTCTTTTCTTTTCTTTTTTTTTTTTTTTTTTAAAAAATTTAAACCTTCCGTCTCTGGCCGAATAGGCTACTTTATTAGGCTATTCATGTGTACATGATGTTAAAGTTTACA